AATGACTTCTACTTGGCTTTCTTCTATATGCCAGCTCTTACCCCATAGGCCAAAGATCCAATAAAGGGGTTGTGCCAATGACCAATTTGTCTCTTCCAGTTATACTTTGAAGGATAATGGAAATGACCGCCATGTGTCCAATAGGGGGCCATGATGGTTCCTCAGCCTGAGGCTTACAGGAGGGAAGCACAGGTGCTTGGGTTTGGCTAAGCGACCCTGTTGGTGGAGAAGATGGCAGGACAGGTCAAAGCTGCCTACAAACCATGCAGATTCTGAAATGTGTTATGTTTTACATTCTACAAGCTCAAGCTGTCTCATGTCTTACCACCAAGGTTGCAGTTATCCTCCTGTCGTTGCCCACGGACAATATAAAGAAGTTGGTCCATTCTATCATAGAAATAGGGATATTAAATATGAATGTGACAAAGGATACGTGCTGCATGGACAGGACACGCTCTCTTGCAGTTCTTCACGCTGGTCACCTGAAGTCCCTCAATGTAAAGGTAACTCCAGCTCCCCTTTCAGCCCGTGGCTAAGTGGGTGGGACTGTCATGAAAGGGTTGAGAGTAAAGTTTCTTTCCAACCAGAGGCAGCATGAAATATTTTATTTGATTTATTTTACATAATTATTATATTCAGATGGTACCCAAAGCAAAAAGTACAAAGGGCATACAGAAACATCAATCTNTGCTCTCGCTGGCTGCTGGCTACACACGGTAGCCCATGGCAACCCACTGCAGCAGGGGCTGCAGCCTATGCTGTCACTGGCGACTCATAGCAGCCCAGCTCCAGGTTGAGCTGTTGTTCAGCATCTTACCTGTAGAGGGCAGTGTCACTGGCCCTCATATGTGGGATCCGAACCGTGGCCCTCTGGCATCCCAAGCCAGCTGTTAACCAACGTGCCACTCGGCCAGCCCTGATACATCATTTTTAAAAAAATATTGAATTGCCAGAATATCTTGTGTTAGCAGGAGCTGTATAATTGTAAGAAAAGGAAATCCAAACAAATGTCCATTTTGTTTATGTCTGTGTCTTTCTGTAATTGTTCTCTCCGTTTACTTCCAAGAGCAGCAGGGACTGAAAGAGAGGAACCTGACCAGTTCTTTGGGGTTAGATGTGGATAAATATCAGGCAATTGCTATTTCGCTCACTGCCTCTTACTAAATCTCATTCACCCTCACCTTACAGCAAGAGTGACTATACCCCTTCCTTGCCAAGAAACCTCACTCAGAAAAGTGTCTTTTATTAAGAAATAATTTTAAACACATGACCTTATTTATTTTATTTTCTTATGTGCTAGTTGAATTACTTTTCTATTTTATATCACTTAAATCATTTAATATTTATATCACATTATTTTATTTTTTTACTATAGCACATGTTGTGTGTAGAATAGGATAAAAACCTCATTTGTATTTGATACAGTAGAGTATCAGGGCACACTGCATGCCATTATACTCACTAACAAGTTCACTGATTAGAAAACATAGAAATCCTTGCTAGATTTCTGTAGCTGTGTTTAAGAATATTTTATTGATATAGAGAAATTGGTTTGGATATTGGGATCAGATGGGAAAGAACAAATTTTTCCCATTTTCCTAAATGAAATTAAGATTCTCGCTAACAGGAAAGTCAACTTCCACACCATTTTATTAGTGGGTTAGAATTGAAGAGCTAAGTATGCTTATATTTTCATATTATTACGTGCTCAGATGAAGAATTATCTACCTCGAGCCTCATTCTTTAGTTGTATAGAAGAAATAGTTGAGACTTTTAAATGTCAACCCTCCATGTTTTCTTCCTTACCATTCTCTATGAATATAAAGGAGCATTACAGAGACTTATTTTCACACTGACATAAATTTTTCCTCTATCCTTTAACTGATTCTTCTATTTAAATGCCTTTCAAAAATTATCTAAAATAAATACATGTATATGCAAACAAATATTGAAAAGATAAAGGAGGGTTTACATAGTTCAACTTCATTACATTTTCCATTTCTCCATTTCTATTTTAAGTTTAAATTTAAGATTTATATTTTTAATTTTTTTTGCTTTTAAGATTTTATTGGGGAATCGGGAAAGGGGAATAGACAAGTTGCTGTCCTTTTTCTCTCCAGTCTAGTTGCGGAGGACGTTGCTTCACTGGCCCATGTTGGTATTATCATTGCTCTCTTCCTGGGAGAGGCAGTTACTCTCTGGCAGTTGAACGGCTGCTCACGGCACCTTACAGCAGCTCACAAAAGCTCTAGCCAGCTGCCAGCGAGTCCCACTGCAGCCTACACCATCACCGGTGAATCACAGCAGCCCAGCTCCAGGTGAAGCTGTTGTTCACCATCTTAGCGGTAGAGGGTGAAGTGTCACTGGCCCTCATGTGGGATCCGAACCAGGGCCCACTGATCAGAGCTGGTGTCCCAAGCCAACTCCTAACCAAGGTGCTGCTTGGCCAGCCCAATACTTTTAATTTTTGTACATAATTCTATAAATTATAAACCACATTACAAGTGCAACTATTTCTTGTCCTACAACTTTATTTATCTTTAAAATGAAGTTTAACATATGTATACGTTTAACAAATTTCTGTACTAAGCAGACCCACAATTCCTTTTCCCTAGTCCCAGAGGACCACTGTCACCTCTTGGAGCAGTTTTTCCCTGCATCTATCACAATATTTTAATTTTTAAATTGTTTTTATTATTAGTTTCAGGTGTACAGAATGATGCAATAATTATCCTTTTCACCCTTTGCACAGGAACAACCCCCCTCCCCCATCTACTGCCCTCCTACCCCTAATATCATACTCATCTATTACAATTCCATTGACTCCATTCCCACACTCTACTCCATGTCCCGTGACTATATGTATATATCACTATAATTGACATACATTATTATTCAACATCAGCTTCAGAAATACAGTGTGGTGGTCAGTCCTCTACACCGACTACGAAGTATCACCATATTTTTAGATAATTTATTTTTTCTACTTTTCTCATGAAGCATCCATTTATCTATTGATTACAAAGGTTTTATCATCTTCTAATTTAATTATCTTCTTTTTCTGCTTCTTTCTTCCAATGTAGTTATTGCACAATTTTAGTTAAATCAATAACTTTTACCTGTTATGAGTGCTTTAAACCAAGTAGTGTTCTGTGAGCATGTTTCCTTTCTTCACAACTTTCTTTTGCTCTCTTCTGGTGTACTGATGCCCCTTTTAGGGATGTTGTTTGCTTCCTTGCTTAGTTTTCTGTATTTCTACTTCCAGTTTTTCTTAAATGTTCCAATACATTTTTCAGTTTATCAAGATTGTTCCAACATTCAGAGACATCAGATGTTTATCAGCTCCCTTTTTGTTCCCATGAACCTTGCTCCCAGATTTCCTTGGCTTCATATTCCAACCCCTTCACTGAAGTTTTAAATTTCTTTTAAGAACATTTTATAACATTTTTCAAAAGATTTTCCTGTCTTTTATTTTTTCTTTCTTTCAAAATAGTATCCAATTCTTTCTACCTAGATTCATTCTTGTCTCCATGGAGCTATTTATAAGAGAGAAGGGTTATTTTGCTCCCTGAAGACCTTTGTTAATGATCATTTGTCAGGAGTTCTTTTTTAAGATTGAGACCTGAATAATCTCATTTAAAGTTCTGCGTCGATGAACAACTTTTGCTGACACTAGACTTCTTTGCAGTGGGATAGGGCAGTGAGCCTTTTCNAGCTATGGCATTGCCAAGACTTAGTTTCTTGGTTCAGGCATCATTTTATTAGTGACTTAGAGCTTCCACTTCAGCCTGATTCAGGGTTTCTGAGAACACTGAACCCCAGTGCTGTATCTCAGACTCTGCACCATGCAGAGAATTTTCCCCGCACTCTACCTTCTTGGGGTTCTGTCTCTATTGCAATGTCCACCTGTCCTGTGTGGTGAGTACAGATGTGATAGGGAAGACGGGAATGTTTAAATCAGGGCATGGGGGGAAGTTCCTGATTAAGAATTAGTTAAATATAACCAAATGGAATAATTCAGTATAATTTTGGAAGTGCAATGAAGTATTTTGTTAAGAAATATACTTATTTTATCTTTATGCCTGAGTAATACTCTATTATATAAGTGTACCACAGTTTCTTAATCCTAACAAACAAACAAACAAAGAAAAAAACTGGTAGTTACAAAATAGCAATGGGGATATAAAGTATTGCATAGGCAATATAGTCACTAATATTATAATAACTATGTATAGTGTCAGATGAGCACTAGACTTATCAGGGTGATCACCTCGTAAGTTATATAAATGTCTAATCACCATGTCATAACCTGAAACAAATATAGTATTGTATGTCAACTGTAATTTAAAAATTAAAAAATATTAAAAATAAAAACACTGTATATATATATATATGAAATAAATGTACTTATTTCACTTAGCATAATATTCTCTAGTTCCACCCATATTGTTGCATATGGTAAGATTTCATTGTTTTTTATGACCGACTAACACTTAATGGTATAAATGTATTATAGTTTCTTTATCCAATCATTATTGATGGGCATTTTGGTTGATTGTGGGGGGTATCACTTTGTGAGAGGTGTAAATGTATAATTATTACATTGTTTTGTAGGCCTGAAACTACCTTTTTAAAAAAGAAATATACTTAAATTATTTTAGTCCTTCTGGTATAGACTATAACTATTTGGAAAGCAAAATATTACAAATCCTTGAGGAGCTGATTTAACCACAGAAACCTTCTATTTTTTATATTAATGTTTTATATTTAAATGGATTCATAAAGAATTAATTCTTCTATAGGGTTTTTTTTTCTATTGCATTCATAATTGACTAGAAAATGTTTGCAATCCAGAAAATAAAAATTTATGTTATTACAGATAATGAGTTTGCCCCGTCTCTTCTGTGGTGAGCTCTTCCAAAGGTGGAAATGAGGCCCTTAGCCATAGGGCCTCCTCATGGTGATTTTACCAACCGTTAGCCTCACTTTTTATTTTTTAGAGGTGTGTTGCCCAGAACCAGATCTGACGAATGGCAAAATCCTTCAAAGGAGAAAAAAAAGTGTTGCCAGTAGCTGTGACTATTTCTATGGAGACTCGATTTCATATTTATGTTTTGGGAGAGAAGTCTTTGACGCTTCATGCCAAGGGGATGGCACGTGGAGTCCTGAAACACCAACATGTGAACGCAGTAAGAGCTTATGGAATGATGTTATATTAGAAGTTTATTTGTTTCAAAGTAATGGAGATTATTGAGGGGAGGTTTTGAATTAGGTAAAAGAATTTGTACACTCTGCATGATTCTTGGAGTGGATAAATTTGTTTAAAAACACAGCCTCTAGTCCAGGTTTCTCTTTCCTTCTTCCTTCCCTTCCTTTCCCTTCCCCTCCCTCCCTCTTTTCTTCCCTCCCTTCCTTCCTTTCTTCCTTCTTTCATTCCTTCCTTCCTTCCTTCCTTCCTTCCTTCCTTCCTTCCTTCCTTCCTTCCTTCCTTCCTTCTTTCCCCTTCCCTGCCTTTGGTTGTTCCCATTCTGTTAACCTTCCTGCTTTTCATTCCAACGTTCTAAGAGGTTTGCAGTTTCAGGGTGACGCAGTCTGTAGTATGAGTAGGGTATTTCATGGCCATGTCTCGATACCACACCTTATTTGATGTAAGTGGATCTAATAGGTGTATGTAGTGGGATCCTGTGCCAATT